GGGGTCAGAAAAAAGAGGGGGGGGTCAAAAAAAAGACGGGCCCGTTTAGGGTTTAGGGTTTAGGGTTTAGGGTTTAGGGTTTAGGGTTTAGGGGTTTGGGGGTTTAGGGTTTGTAGGGCTTTAGGGTTTAGGGGTTTGGGGGTTTAGGGTTTAGGGTTTAGGGTTAGGGTTTACGGTTTACAGGGCTTTAGTGCTTTTGGGGATAGGTTTAGGGTTTATGCGGCTTTAGGATTTCGGGTTTAGGGTTTCAATGGGTTCCATGAGGCTCCTATAAGGTTGGTAGAAGGATTGAATAGGATTTCTGAAATGGCTCTACATGGTTTCTATAATAAAGGTTCTGGAAGAGTTCTAAAGGGGGTCCATACGGGTTTGAGACTTGTGGTCTAAGGTGTCGGGCAGAAGGCTAGAGGGGGTGTGGGTTTCGGGTTGAAGGTTTAGGGTTTTGGCAGGAATCCAGCATGTGTCGCAAGGGGACTTGGAGGGTTTTTGCGGTGGTGACAAGAATCCTATGAAGTTTAAGGCTAAGCGTAGGGTCCGGCCTAGAATTTAGGTTTCTCGAAGTAACAATGTGTGCAAAGGAATCTCTACTGCTCTGTCCGGCATTCAGAAACGCAGCCCTGTAAACCCCAAAGCCCTGAATCTACCCTGCAACTCTGAACGCTCTGGGGCCCCTAGACTCTTAAGCACTGCAGCTATTGCACCGGAACCCTTGGCGCTAAACCCAAAACCCCCCAACAAAAACTTATGAACCAAGATCCCCAAGCCTACAGCCTTAAGCCCAAAACCCGTGTAGTCCCGTGTACAGCAACCCATACAGTAGAGGAGCCTGTGTTCCATGAACCCTCATGCCCTGATTATACGAAGAAGCACGAGGCCTCATCAACGATCACCTGCCAGAAGACGGGAGCTCCCTCCTGGAACACAATGACTATATTGTATAGATGATAACTAATATAATAGAATATAATCTAGTATAATATAATATTACATTATACCAGAAGTACTGTATGTGTAATGTATATTAGCCTTTCCGAGCGTAAGATAGCAGTTCAGACCCAGAATTGGCCCGAACACCTCTAAAGCCTCCTTCGGAACTGCACGGGGGTTTGGAGGGCTGCGGGTTAAGAGCTCCGGGTCTCTTGGGTGTGTGCCTTTGGTTTTGCGATTTCAGGGCGGTGAGCCTCGTGTATGGGCCTTAATCATTAGAACAGGGTTTGGGGGCCGTTATACTACAGTTATTTTAATAAAGGAACTCTAAGGAATAATATAGGCGATTAGTTAGGCTTCTACATCATCCTGTCATGCTGGTGGTGCTTGTATTCACGCCGCTTCATGACGATGTGCAAGCTGGTTTATTGCACTGCCGAATTCTCGCCGTCATCTTGGGGGTATTGCGAGAACTGCTCTCCGCAATCTCATAGCTTCAGTGTCCTTATGCACAGGATCGTTTCGACCTGCCGACAAAGCATCATGTCCGCTTGTATTCACGATGGCCGTATGAACTTATCATTGAATCATCTGTGCACACACACATATATATATATATATGTATATATATATATGTAATATATATATATATATACATACACGATCGTCATTATTGATTGTTTCGCTTATCATATGGCAGCCGTATTGATTGTTTCGCTTATCATATGGCAGCCGGGGGGCCAGTGCTGCATCCCGAATCCGACTGATTTTGCTAACCTTTCCGCTGTTTGCTCCCGGCTCCTCAGCCAGCGCCTGAGCCACGGCCATGCGGCGGCAGGACACCTGAACATTCAACTGTAAACCCTACAGTAAACCCTAAACCCTACTGAGCGCTAAATCCTAACCCCTGCACCCTAAACCCTAAACCCTACTGAGCCCTAAACCCTGAACCCTAAACCCTACTGAGCATTCTCGCCTACCCTTCAACCGCCGATTTTGCCAAATGGCACACACCAAAGCGGACTCTGGGCCCCTCTGCCCTTGGCCCAGGGTCTCTAGGGTTTAGGGCCTATAGGGTTTAGGGGGTGTAGGGTGTAGATTTTAGGGTTTAGGGTTTAGGGTTTAGGGTTTAGGGGGTGTAGGGTGTAGGGTTCAAAAAGGTGCTAAGCTTGCAGTTTCAAGCTGTCCAATGTGTTCACGGCAGCCCTCCAGAGCTCCGCAATAGGAAGGTGATGAACTAAGAGAACTATACACATACAGGGTCTATGAGTGAAGACAAGAGTGTGCAAATTGTGGAGGCGCCTGCATTCACCAATACGTAGCGTCTTAAGACTTCGACACGGAACTTAGTACCCAATCTGCAGCTGCCTAAAACCCTCATGCCTTTGAACTCTACAGCCCTAAAGTCAGCCCCAGAAAGATTGTAAAGCACGCAACTGAGAAACCAAGGACGTCCAAGGCAGCCGTGGTGCGCATGTGGTAAACACGATGTCGGCCTCATTAGCAGGCTTTACGGCTTAGGGTCCAATCTACTTAACAATTAGAATAGGGTGTCGGGGTACACATTTAATTGCCAGGATTATAATTATAATGCACAACCCTAAGGCATCACCCAGACAGCCCAATACCCCTTAAATCATAATATTAAGGCCCCAAGAATTTAAGGTATACTATTCCCTATTTAAGGGATCTTGGCCTCTCTGGGTAAAGGGTGATAGTTATTATTCAGGCCCTAAACCCTAAACCCTAAACCCTAAACCCTAAACCCTAATGATAGTTATTATTCAGGCTTGTACATTCCGCTTCCAACGCACGATCAGGCTTCATGGCACTGAGGGCTAAGCCCTCTCAGCCTTGGCTCAGGGTTCTGGGTCTCATGTTGGGCTTTAGTCTTATGGGTTTAGAGTGTATAGGGTTTAGGGTTTAGGGTTTAGGGTTTAGGAGTTTAGGGTTTAGGGTGTAAGAGTTTAGGGGTTAGGGTGGTTTAGTTGGGATCAACACTGTGGGTTTTCGCCGGCTGAGAGTGATGGTGCATGAGCGGCTGGGGCTTCAAGGCCAAGTGGTTAGCTCGGAGATCGAGAACGAGAGCTTCAGGCTTTAGGGTTTGACCAGCAGTAGAAGTCTACGGATCTTGACACAGCTACAACATGTGCAAAAACCTGCAAAGCCTGTCTGAACACCAAGCCCGAAACCCTAAAAGACACAACCCGCCCAATATCCCTTAATTAAATCATTATGTTAAGGCCCCTATAATATAAGATATACAGAAAATAAGACAATATGGGGACCGTAATGTCTTACACTCTCAAGATATATTCCCTAGTTAAGGGGTATTCGGCTCTCTTGGTTAGGGTTTGGGGTTTAGGGTTTATGGGGACCTTGTGGAACAACTCTGCAGCTGCCTCACGGAGTTCGGCAGCACGTGCTTCGGACAAGGCCTTCGGGGAGCCAGAAGGGCCTAGGGCTTAGGGTTTAGGGTTTAGGTTTTAGGGTTCTAGGGTTTACGTTTTAGGGTTTTAGG